GTGGAGACAGCGAGGATGCGTGCTATTTCGTGTCATAAGGGGGGCGGGGTTCACAATTAAGGGTATCAGCCACGCGGCTCTTTTCCTGGGTCAAAGGTCAAGGACGAGGCCTCGTGGGCAGCGCGTTAGTGAGTTAGCGGTCAGATGGGCGGAGCCGCCCACAGACCGTTCGGTCATGCAGGGCCGTGTGAGGGCAAACGAAGGAGGAGGACAGGAAGATGGTGGCAAACGAATAACAACCAAAACTACACTACCCACAATACATCACTACAGCTACATCATAATGGAAAAAAATCATGAACACAAAATAGAACCAAATTATGGGACTACACAAAAACTAGACAAAACAGACAAACTATTCCTGACACACCTTCTTTATTTCAGTCTGGTTTAGCTTAGCGTGAGCAGCTTATTGTTGTTGTTTCTATAAAAGGATTTCTTTTCTGAACATAAAGATAGTGACCTATCTATGCTCCGCCCACAAATGATCTGTTTCGTCACTACTGTTACTAGGACAGCATTACAGACTGGTGCAAAAAAGTCTAAAATCTTTACTGGGCCCCTAAAAATATTATATATATATACATATATATATATATATATATATATATATATATATAAATAAAAACTCCCTCCCCTGTGATAAAATCACAGTATCGCACGTCTCAAGTGGTTTACTGCTTTTAGAAAACGGTGGCCAACATAAAATATGATAAAATATTACTATTAAAATATTAATATTAATATTTCAGTTATTACTAATAATCTAGATAAATAAGTATTCACATTAGCACACCATCACACTAAAATTCAGTCAGATGATTGTTCCTAAGCATATTTAAGAGTAATTTACTGTCCATGTAGTAAATTGACATGTAAAGCAACAAATGCTTAAAGAAACAGATAATTAAAAAGAAGTCGAACGTATAGCTGAAATGTGCCTAAAGTGTCTAAACTTAACGACCACTTAATTTTTATTTTGTCTGTCCAGAAATGAGGCATTTTACTGAAAATAATATACATTTTCAAAATAAAAAATGAGGACTTTTATTTTGAAAAATGTATCTCAGTATATGTATCTCCATATTAATATGATATAAAACATATACTTTATAAATGTTGCTTTAAGCATTCATAAACATGTTGTGAAGTGTTCATGTAAGATGTTATGAACGTGTTATGTAGACACCCTTCAAGTGTTACCGAGCTAACGTTACGATAGATAAGCTCCATAAACAAAATACAGAAAAATGAATACATTAAATAAAATATGAGCGTTTTTTTCTCATCAGACTGAATAGGATTTTTCCAGATCTATAAAATTATCTAACGCCTGTCCAACCTGGCAGCAACTAATGAAGGGAAGCATTAGTGGGCGGAGCACGAACAGATCAATTCTCCGATTAATAAATGTTCTGCTTGTATGTGGGAGCCTGGCTTAATAAGCTAACCTTACTGCTGATGTTACTGTGCTAGATAAGGAATGTATGTGTGGGTTTGTTACCTTGTTCTTCTTGAAGAAGAAGAGTTTGCTCTTGCCCTTGCTGGATTTGTCTGCCTTGCCTTCGGGGCGAGAGTTCGTCAGACTGGTTTCCGATGCCGTCCTTTTCATTGCCTGACCGTAGTCTTCAAACTCGACATCGCCCGGGGGCTCGAACCCCGATTTATACGATTCCACCACCTGCGCAGAGTCCTGAAACACACACACACAGATGCGTGCAGTTACCAGTGAAACCAACTGCAGTCGTACTAAAACATCCTTTTGCTTAAATAAATACACACTGGAAATTTTTGCAATGTGAATTAGAAAAATTGGAATCGGAAGTTTTTGCAATGTGATTTGATGAGGGTGAGTAGAGCAGTAAGAAATTTACACCATTTTCCACTTACTTGAGACATTTTTTTCTTTCTTTAGTCTAGCAATAGAGCTACGAGGCTAATGTTGCTAACAAACACCAGAAGTCAATAGGCACCCAAATCCTTTCTGTAAATACATTCCCAAAACTTCTCTCAACCTCTCTGAAATCCCATCGTTAAGGTGGCACAGACTTGTTGATGTGGTAAGACAGCCTGACTGTGAGCTATAAAAATAAACAAAGCTTGTATTTACTGAAAAGATTTTTGTTAGCAACATTAGCCATGTAGCTCCAGTACTAAACCAAAGAAGCAAAAACACAACCAAACATGTCTTAGCTGATCGACTGGGGAATGCTCGTAGTCACGGAGACAGTGCTCATAGTCATGGAGACACAACGCTCATTATCACGGAGACAGTGCTCGTAGTCATGGAGACACAACGCTCATTATCACGGAGACAGTGCTCGTAGTCATGGAGACACAACGCTCATTATCACGGAGACACAACGCTCATTATCACGGAGACAGTGCTCGTAGTCATGGAGACACAATGCTCATTCTCATGGAGACAGTGCTCGTAGTCATGGAGACACAATGCTCATTCTCATGGAGACAGTGCTCGTAGTCATGGAGACACAATGCTCGTAGTCTGGGAGACAGTGCTTGTAGTCATGGAGACCCAGTGCTCGTAGTCATGGAGACACAACGCTCGTAGTCACGGAGACACAACGCTCGTAGTCATGGAGACAAAACGCTCGTAGTCATGGAGACACAAAGATGGTCCCCAGCTTGGATATTATGACAACTCACAGAGGTGTGAATTTAACTTTTACTGCAAACCTAATTAGGGGCTGCCTAGCAACAGCGCTACTCTCTGTCCGAGATAGAGAAGCAGAGAGTAAATGAGATTTATAGAGCTCCCTCGTTCTCTCAGATAACACGTCTGTCCTGGGTGCAGCGAGCGGTGCCGTCACACTAAGCCAGCACATCATAGCTGAGATGTAACTGTAACCGTAACTGACTCAAGATCAGTGTGAGGCTAAGAGGCAGGAATGAAGTCTGACTCTATTAGCTGAACACAAAGCAGAAACAGACTCCAGGTCAGCGGTTGTGAGAGAGTGAGACAGTAATAGAGTGTAACTCGGTTAGACCTGCCTCAGGACAAACAGGCGGCAGAAACCCGCAGATACGGCTCAGCTGAAGGGAACAACGAGGAAAACGACAAACAATATCTCTGGAAACAAAACTGGGCAAACTGACAGCTAAGATAAGAGGCTGAGCTTTTAAACGGTATGTCACTTCACAAAAACAGGACTGACCTACATGACCAACAAAATGCGGAAATACGGAAAACAGCAGCAGCAGCTCTATACCAGAGCGCTCTATAAAAATGAGACAGAAGAACAAAGGAAAAGAAACAGAGCGAAACTCAAAGAAAGACAAATGAAAACCAGAAATACAGACACTGCGGCAAAAAGGTCACACAGGCAATGCAAGACAAACAGACTGAGCAAACACAAGAGTATAAATACAATGAGAACAAACATCAGGGACTAATGAGAGGGCAGAGCAGCAGACAACACACAGGTGGGACAGATAACAAGGAGGCAGGACAGGGAGGAGACAACAAGAACAAAAACAACAACAAAAGCACATGGTGCAGGAAACAGACTAGGCTGGGGCAAGAACAGAAAAGGGCAGACAAACCACAGAAACCATGTCATTAATCTAGAACGGACAAAAATCCACGTGTTGATGTTAGCCCAGTGCTAACAGATTACTAAAATTCCATCGGGTGATTTTTTTTCCTCCTGCTTTGACCAAGATTTAACGTTTAGACCCTGAATTGAAGGCCTTGTGGTTCAGCACTGATAAATACAGATCATATTACTATTACATATAGGTACTTATACGTATATGTGTATATGTATACTGTAGTATACATATCTTTGTAGTTCTACAGTTACAGACTGTAGTCCATCTGTTCTTCTGCATACTTTGTTATCCTGTTCTTCAGTGGTCAGGATCCCCACAGGACCCCCACAGAGCAGGTACTATTTGGGTGGTGGTGTGTTAGAGTGTGTTGTGCTGGTACGAGTGGATCAGACACAGCAGTGCTGCTATGGCTCCATACCTGCTCTGTGGGGGTCCTGTGGGGGTTCTGACCAATGAACAACAGGGTAACAAAGTATGTAGAGAAACAGATGGACTACAGTCTGCAACTGGACATGAAAGGTATATATATGTACTACATATGGGACATATTATTATGGTGTGTGTCAGTGTGTGTCTGTGTGAGTGAGTGTGACTCACAGTCTTGGGTTCGATGCTCTCGGCCGCTTTGGTCATGCCGTCCAGGCATTTCCCCACGATGGGTAGAATCTGTCTGTCCACCTCAGCAAAGGTCTTCATGGATTCCCCCAATCTCTCGATCCTCCTCTCCTCCATGTCCTGGATCTTCTGCTCACGCACACACATTGCATGCATTTCATATACATATATGTACATTTTATGTATATATATATATATATATATATATATATATATATATATATATATATATATTGTTGACACAATATGATTGTGTCAATATACATGACTGAGGGTGGTGTGTGTGTGTACCTGGAAGATGTTGGGGATGAGTGTGTGGTAATGTTCGGTCTGTTCCTGGTTAAATTTCTGCAGGTAGTTGGAATACTCGCTCTTACAGTCAGCCGCCATCTGGTGTCTCAACTGAGCCTGCTGCCTCGCCTGGAGAGAGAGAGAGAGAGAGAGAGAGAGAGAGAGAGAGGGAGAGAGAGAGGAAGAGAGGAAAAGAGAGATTATTCTTCTGAAAGAACCAACTGAAAGAACATTCTGTGAAGTTCTCTGAGACTCATCACCAACTGGCCGTCAGTCTGTCCAGCACACACACACACACACACACACACACACACACACACACTGCCCTGTCCACTTCACTGGAAACACTTCTCTGCATCCACTCACTGTCCACTTCATAAGCTCCACTTACCTCACAGCTCCACTGTACAGTGGACAGTTACAGACCGCAGCTCACCTGTTATGCCATTCATCACTGGTCAGTTTCTGACCTCAGGACTGTTCAGATGTTATTTGGCTGGGGGTCCACTCTCAGCTCAGCAGTTACACAATCATCCAAAAATTTCCAGTGTGGTCAGAAACTGACCCCTGATGATGAGGTGGGGCTACAGGAGAGGGGTTTCTGATAAAGTGGCCAGTGAGTGTTTACACAAGAAGATTGCAGAGTGTGTGACATGTATGATCTACATGAAGAGCCAGTGCTGACACTTACAAGCAGACACATGCTCCACAATCTAGAATGGACTGCGGTTCTAGAACTCTAACAGAACGGACGAAGAGCTCTAGAACCGGTTCTGAGGCGCTGCTGGACTGGATCAGCAAGACAGTAAACTTTCAGCAGAATATGAGAGAGTTTATCCTGATTACTGATACACACATACAAACATCTGTGCACGAGAGAGAGAGAGAGAGAGAGAGAGAGAGAGAGGGAGGGAGACAGAGAGGGAGAGAGAGACAGCAGGAGACAAAGAGAGAGAAACAGTGAGCGCAAAAGAGAAAGAGAGAGAAACAACAAGAGAGGGGAAGAGAGGAGAGAGAGAGAGAGAGCAAGAGAGAAAGAGAGAAAGACAGAAGAGCGAAAGAGCAAGATAAAAAAAGAAAAAGAAAGAATGATAGTCAGAGGGACAGAGGGAAAAAAGTGAAGGTAAAAAAGAGAAAGAGGGAGAGAGAAAAGGAGAGTAAGAAAAAGCAAGAAAGAGGAAGAGAGAGAAGAAAGAAAGAAAGAAAGAAAGAAAGAAAGAAAGAAAGAAAAAAGAGCAAGAGAGAAAAGAAAGAAAGAGGAAGAAAAAAGAAAAAGAGGCAGAGCAATAGTGAGATGAAGAAAGAGTGAAAGACAAAGAAAAGAGGTAGAAGGAGAGGCAAAGAGATGGAAAGAGAAAAGGAGAGACCTAGAGAGAAGAGTGAGAGAGCAAGAGAGAGTGATAGTAAGAGAGAGAAAGAAAGAGAAGGGGAGAAGAAGGAGAGACAGAGAAAGAGAGAGAGAGAGGAAAAGAAAGAAAGAAAGAAAGAAAGAAAGAAAAAAGAAAGAAAGAAAGAAAAGAAAGAAAAGAGGCAGAGCAATAGTGAGGTAAAGAAAGTAAGAGAAAGACAGAGAAGGGGAGAGATGGAGAAAGAAAGAGGGAGAGACAAAAAGACAGAAAAAGAGAGAAAGAAAAGAAACAGAAAACGGTAGAGACAGAAAACGAGAGCGAGAGAGTGACTAAGCGAGAGATAACGAGAGAAAGAGAGAGAGGATTTTCAGCAAGACCTGGTTTTAACCACATCCTGAACAAATTCTAGGAAATCAAACCCAGCCATCTGTTACCATGGACACGCTCATCACTCAAATTCTGGGTTGCCATGGAGACAACTCTGCCTTTGATCTACTGTAGGCTGAGATTAAACAACTGCACTCTCTGATAGCTGTGCTGCTATTAAAGCTTGTTAAGCTGCTGATTAATCTTCATGCCAGACAATGAAGTCGAAGCTCTACAACAACGCCACGTGTGCAGACGTTCACATTCGCAGCCGCGTGATTGGTGGGGCAGACAGACGCTAACGAGGCCGTGACTGCCGAGACCTCCACAGTGGGTGGGCCATGTGGGCGTGTCTATGGGTGCACAGGTAACGACAGACGCACGCAGACCCACACATACACCTGCCCCTGTGCACCTACCTTAAGGTAACATCGCTTCAGCGTTCGATAAAATAAAAATAAACAAATAACAGAGTTAGCTTAGCAGGAATTAAAGACTTTGCGGCTCTTACAAACTAAAATATACATAAATGTGACGCCAACGACACAAAAGACAAACGCATTCAGATCTACACTCAAATGATTCAATGTACATAATGATGCTAATGTAGCTAACAAGTAATTAAGGATTATACCCCGCTAATTAGCACTGTGCTAACTGTGCACATGCTCTCAAAAACAATGTTATCTGTTTTAAGACATTGTGTCAAACTGTTAGTTTCACTGCAGTCAAAAGTATGTGATTGAGTTCAGGTGTTTTAGCCACACCCACTGCTAGTAGGTGTATAAAATCAAGCACATAGCCTTGCAGTCTCCATACGTAAACATTGGCAGTAGAATGAGTCGTACTGAACGGATCAGTGACTTTAAACATGACACTGTTACAGGATGATCCCTTTGCCACAAGTTCTTCGCTGCTAAAGCTGCCCTAGACAACTGTAAGTGCTATTATTGTGAAATGGAAGCTCAAAGCGATAGCAGAGCTGAAGCACATAAGAATCGTCCATGCTCTGCTGCATCACTCACTACAGAGCTCTAAACTGCCTCGGGAAGCAACGTCAGCACAAGAACTGTGAGTCAGGAGCTTCATGAAATGGGCTTCCATGGCTGAGCAGCTGCACACAAGCCTAAAATCACTATACGCAATGCCAAGCGTCGGCTGGAAGGGTGTAAAGCACTGCTGCTGGACTCTGGAGCAGTGGAAACGTGTTCTCTGGAGTGATGAATCACGTTTCACTATCTGGCAGTCTGATGGATGAGCCTGGGTTTGGCGAACACCAAGAGAACGTTACCTACAAGAATGCACAGTGCCAAAGTTTGGTGGAGGAGGGATAATCATCTGGGTCTGTTTTTCAGGGTTAGACAATTACATGTTTCTAACTTTGTGGCAGCAGTTTGGGGAACGAGGCCATGTCCAGCAAGCTCATATAGGTGCGTGGGTCAGGTGTTATTCACTACAATACCCAGCATGCATTAAGCAAATAGAGCACACAGCCATTGGGAATCCCTGTGGTGTCAACCAATCCTGACTGCTAGCCTAGCTACTTGGCTATAGGCTTGTCAACACAACCAAGCTAGCATTAGCACAACTCTTACTTTGGTCATCAAACAAAATTGTAAAGAAAACAGCGTAAGACGTCTAGATGACCAGCTACCTTTAGCTAATTTTAGCTTTTAGCTCTGTAATGTCTTCCGTGCCTCTCAAACGCTAGAGGGCGCTCCCTGAGTCCACAAAGAATGGGTTAATATGGAGCATTTGAGCAAAATCATAGTTTATAAATGCTTAAATATTTTTAATGTAAAAGAATGAATTCATTTCCTGAACACAGAACAGCATAAAACATTTTAACGTTGCTGTTATATTTTAAGAGCTTTTAAACTCGAGTTATAGGAGTTTCATGCACATTCATGACGTCTGTGAGCGTGAACAGCTAATGAGCTGCTCCGCTCGCCAACCAATCAGCACTCAGTAGCAGTAATGTTAGTGTCCTGTTGCGCAAAACCCGTTTGCTGTAGAAAAAAGGAAACATACAGGTCAGTTTTCTTTGTTTTTTTAGTGAAATACATCCTTCTACTTTCTAAATTGAAGGGAAAGTTCTGTGTAAGTGATTAGAGACTATTTTAACTTTTCGTTTTTAGCCGTTGAGCTTCATTTACTCCCATTCATTGAGGACTCGCTCGCGGGCGCCCTCTGCTGTTCAGCAGTCCTGGTTTTGATATAACGGAGGAAATAGGAAGCGGCCAGACTCTTCATAAAGTCTCTAAACTGGCTCCCCGGAAGAAGGGGGTGTTTTTACATTTTTTATGTAAATTTTACATGGTGAAAGTGTCTTATTCTACTAGCAGATAAATGTGCATTGTTTCTCATTGACTAAATTATTTGCCAACAGAATAAGTAAATTTCACTGGATAAAATGACTTAAAACAAGTAAACTTTTGGTAGAAATTTGTCAAACAGTCTTATATTATGCTTACAACAATTTTAAAATGGGAAGTTATAGATATTTAAACACTAAAATATGACAAATTTGCAAATTTAAGAACACAGTTAGCAACATGCTAACTGCACAATTGCACTATTTTGCTAATTGGTGGGGTATAAGATTACATTACCTGTTAGCTACATTAGCCTTGTAGCTCCCGTGCTAAATATACACACTTAAAAAAAAAAGATGCTGCCTCAAGGGTTCCTTAGTAAAGTCAATGAGTTCTATATAGAACTATCTGTATGCTAAAATGGTTCTTTGCGTTGTGAAATGGTTCTTCAGAGTGTAATAAAATACTATGGTGCTATGGGCCCTTTAAGACATGACAGCTGACTCTCACCCTCAGAGAGAGAACCAGGGTGGAGAGGAAGAGTGTGGGTGAAGAAAAGAACAATGACTTTTCTACAAGGACTCGTTAAAGGAAAGTAGGCGCTGTGCTCTGTGTGATCACACACACACACACACACACACACACACTCAGATTTTCCAGCACTGCCACGGCGACAGAGAGCAGACACTGAGGACGGATGACGGAGGAGTGTGAGGAGAGAAGCAGATGCGAGAAATGAAAGAAAGAGAAATGAATTGATCTCTCCAGGCTCCGCCCACAAACGTGGTCTTTCATAACAAGTAAATCTCTTTCAACATGACTCTAAATGTAGGTATTGTGATATAAACTGAGTCTGATCTACAGTTTCTCATTAGGTTGAATGAATAACTGACTCTAAATGTAGGTATTGTGATATAAACTGAGTCTGTTCGACAGTTTCTCATTAGGCTGAATGAATAACTGACTCTAAATGTAGGTATTGTGATATAAACTGAGTCTGTTCTACAGTTTCTCATTAGGCTGAATGAATAACCGACTCTAAATGTAGGTATTGTGATATAAACTGAGTCAGTTCTACAGTTTCTCATTAGGGTGAATGAATAACCGACTCTAAATGGAGGTAATCTGATGTATACTCGTCTGTTTGTCCAGGATGCGTGTGTGTCTGTGTGGTCAGTAAGAACAGATGCAGTGCTGTTCGCTGTTATTTGTGACTTGCAGTCTAATTAGAGATGCCACGACACCAATCTGCCTTCTGTGATGCTGCTAAGCTCCGAGTATCAGCAGATACCTGTCCAATATATCACCGCTGTCCAAAGAAAAGCAAGTATCTCTGAAATAGCAACTTTACAGGAGAAGGCAAAAGGTCTTAACTATTCATGTAAGTCATGATTTTGGAGCATTTCTATTGGTCGATTCATCAAATAAAGAGCAGTGTTCAAATTATGTAAAAACAAAAAAATCATAAAAATAGAGATACCTTTAAAAAAAAAACTGACCTTAGAGATTCTTTAGGAATCCTAAACGATTCTTAAATGATTCTTTAGGAAACTAGTCACTGAATTATGACATCTCCAAATTTCGCAGTTACTCTGTTTGATTCAATTCAATTACACTTCCATTAAATTACAGTTCGACTGATTCAGTACCGATTCTTTAGGAAATGACTCATGAAACTTCAAACTTCACCACAACTGATGATTTGATTTGGTTTGATACATCGTCACTGTCCAAAGAAAAGCAAGTATCTCCAAAATGGCAACCTTACATAGTCTTAACTCTTATCGTAAGTCAATGAGATTTCATTCAAAGTAATTTTGAAGCATTTCTATTGGTCCATTCATCCAATGAAAGAGCAGCTGCCGTGTTCAAATAATTTAAAAGAAATTGACAATAAATAAAAATGTAGACTTTTTTTTTTTACCAAGGGTGTAAATCTCTGACCTCAGAGATTCTATGGGAATCCTAAAAGAATCTTAAATGAGTCTTTTGGAAACGATTCGGTGCATCAAATCTTACATTTCACAATTACTCAGTTTGATCCAATTCAATTACAATTCCGTTAAATTATAGTTCAACTGATTCCGTGACGATTCTTTAGGAAATGACTCATGAAATTTCAAAGTTTACTACAACTGAATTTGATTTGACTCAGTCTGATATATCGTCACGATCCAAAAGAAAAGCAAGCATCTCCAAAATGGCAACTGAAAAGGTGACGGCAAAAGCCGCCTTGACTTTTAATGCAAGTCAGTATAAAGAGCTTTTATTCCACGTGATTATGGAGCATTTCTATTGGTCCATTCACCACAAAATAAAGAGCAGCTGCTGTGTTCAAATTATGTAAAAAACTGAAAATAAATAGAAACGGATGCTTTTTTTGGGCAGCGATGATTTTCTCTTCAAAAACTACTAAGATTAAGCTCTTTATTTAAAATGATGACTAAAGTAGTTTATGATGCTGAAACTCTATCACTCTATTAACCCCACAGTAAGAACCACACAGCTCACATCATACCACGCAGTGAGAGCGAGTGCTGTTAGATCTGGTACACGCAAGCCTGGATGGTGCTTTGTGTTTTTAAACAGCACCTACATGATGTGAGTGATGACGTCATGCAAAATGATTTTTTCACTTAACTGTCTCTCTTTTATTGTGTCATAACACAGTACTGTGTTGAGAATACACACATATAGCTGACACATCAAACGTGCTCACTCTGCTCTCTCTCCTTCCAGACCACTCTGCTCATTATGTAAATGAGCCAAAAGGCAACCAATCAGATTGCTGATATGTGGCAAGAAAATCGATTGTGTCATGCCAACAGTCATACAATGAGATTCAAAACTACAGAGCAGGAGATACAAAAAAAGAAAGTTTTTTAAAAGTTTTATTACATTAGATGATTTTTGAACGTTTAAAAACTACTTTAGACTGTGTGGCAGCGCAGAAACGGCCCACTGCTCTGCACACGCTTGCATTTCTGCACCTCAGCCTGCTTGAGTTTTAGTGACTGTTGATTCGGCTTGCTTTAGCGAAAATACATTGAGTGTATTTATATGCGCTTAATAATCCGATCATAATCAGATTTCTGCAGTTGTCGGATTGTCCAAATGGTCATGTAAACAGCACACTCTGATTTCTTAGATCGGAGTAAGGTCTAGAAATCTGATTAAGAAATCTGATAAAGAGAGCTGGATTTTAGCTCAGTAATCAGATTTCTCAGTGCATGTGAACTCTTACTCTGATTTCTTTCAGATTTCTCAGTCTGCACATGTGTGAAATCAGACTGCGGTACTAGACATAAGTGAGAAGCGTTTAACGCAGAACCCACGAGACGCAGCAAAACACTTTCGGATACTTGACGAAATGAGGGATTTAAGTATTCCTCATCTTCTAGATGATGTATGTTCATATTTTCAGGTAAAGTGGTGCGATGCTTAAAAAAAGTTTTACGTTACGTTTACGTCACGTCTTCTGTGAGTTTATTGGCTGGTTGTAAAGCAGAAATCTGATTACTGTCTGACTCGTGCAGACCCGGAGTTTCCTCATTATCTGATCACTCAAGTGCATGTAAACGTTGATCGGATTACTGACAAAATCTGATCTTCTGCAGTTATCGGATTATTAAGTGCATGTAAACACAATCACCGTCACATACATTCATACACACATGAATTAAAAACACTCCCTTTTAAAACAAGCACAGGGTTTATACTATATTCAAATCATTTTAACATTCAGATCTTTTTATTTATTTATATTTTTTTTAGCAGTAGCAGTCGACCCTGAAATCTAGGGTTGCTGCCACTTTCTGTATGTCCGGTTTTAGGTCTGAATGACATTCATCCTTTTATACTCTCCTACATCATATTCCATTCAGCATTTTCTGCAGATATCAGCGCAATACTGATATGCAGTACAGGATCAGTACCGACTCTACTGATAAACAGGCTTCAGTGTCGTTACATGTATTATGTATATGTGTATGTAGAGGTGGAAGCAGACGAATCCTGTCTGGATCTTATCAGAACAATTCACAGACATACACGCACACACACACACACACACACACACAAATACAAATACACACTCTAACACACTCCTACCTTCTCCACGTCGGCCTTCGTCACATTGATATCAGCGTCCATTTTCTCAAAATACTGCTGCGCTCTGTCCGCCTCCTTACAAGCCCTCTCGAAATTCCGCTTAGACTGTAACACACACACACACACACAAAACACATGTATTAGTGCACACTAATACACACCAAGGATGTAAATCTCTGACCTCACAATGATTAAACTTCCTAAACAATTCTTTACGAAACGATTCAGTGCATCATCAAATCTCAAATTTCACAATTAGTTCGACTGATTCAGTAACGATTCTTGAGGAAATGACTCATGACTCATGAAAGTTCAAATTTCACCACAACCAAATTTGATTTGATTCAACTATGATTCTTTTAGAACATGATTCAGTATAACAGGAACTCTCAAATTTCACCACAGTTTGGTTTAATCATGAGTTTGATGATGATTCTTTAGGAACTGATTCAGTGCATCATGGAATCTCTAACTTCCTCACAATTCATGTTAAGTTCAATTATGATTCTTTAGGAAATGATTCAGTTCATCATAAAATCTCACATTATCACTGTAATATAGTATGATTTGATTCGGCTACAGTTCTTTAGGAAACAATTCAGTGTGTCATAAAATCTCAAATTTCACCATGATTCAATTTGATTTGGTTTGATCTGATTGTGATTCTTTAAGAAAATTATTTAGGACACCAAAAAATCTCAAACCTCACCAAGACTCAGTTTGTAATTTCATTCAGTTATGAGTCTCTAGGAAAAAATTCAGTACATCTCAATTCCACCACAAGTCAATTTGATTAAATTCAGTTACAAATCTTTGGGAAACAATTCATTGTGAAATCACAAATTTCACTCTAATTCAGTTTGATTCGATTCAATCACAAGTCTTCAGGAAATGGTTACTGCATCACGATTCAATTTCATTTGATTCAATTAAGATTCATTAGGAAACCATTCAGTGCATGACACAATTTCAAACTGAAACGAGGTGATTATTTTGGTACATAGCACAATAGTAACTGGAAGAATTATTTGCACATTAATGTAATAAAACCTTTACTTTTTAAAACAGAATAAAACATTTTTGGCCAAAAATGAACACATAATAATTTGTAATATTAATATCCATTATATAATGGATTATAATTGATTCTAACATTCCACAATTTATGTGGTTTAATCTCCACCTTCAGATGGATGTTTACAGTGAATAGATCAGCCCACGCGGTATAACAGGCCCACAGCAGCGTTACACTGACCCTCCCATCCATCTACACTTACAGCACATACACACATAACCCAGCACTTCTGTAGGTCAGTAAATATTGAGAGTCGTCTTTGTGTTTGCGCTCGCCCTCCTTTCCACTCCTTTATTCACTCCTTTATTCCTTCCTTCTTTATTCCATTTCTTCCCTCTACTCATTTATTGGAGAGGACAATCGCCATTTGTTTCAAGAGTCTCTCTGGCCACAACCTCCCTCACACACACACACACACACACACACACAATGAGATCATTCACACACACACTTAAACTCTCACTCTCAAACACACACACACTTGAAATCGCAAACTCACTGTTGCTAAATTGTGGCCATCAAGGGATGCATATGGTCATCAACAATACTCAGATAGGCTGTGGCTTTCAAGCGATGATTGATTGGTACTAACAGGCCCAAAGTGTGCCAAGAAAACAACCCCACACCATTACACCACCTCCACCAGCCTGGACTGTTCAGACAAGGCAGGCCAGATCCATTGATTCATGCTGTAGGTGCCGAATTCTGACCCTACCCTCTGTGAGCCTTGAGATTCATCGGACCCGGCTATGTTTTTCCAGTCATAGACTGTCCAGTTTGTGCCCACTGCAGTCTCAGCTTTCTGTTCTGGGTTGACAGAAGTTGAACGCGACGTGGTCTTCTGCTGTTGTAGCCCATCCACCTCAAGATCTGAGGTGCTGTGTACTCTGAGATGCTTTTCTGCTCACCAGAGTTGTACAGAGTGGTTGAGTTACTGTAGTCTTTCTGTCAGTTTAAAGTAGTCTGGCCATTCTCCGCTGACCTCTCTCATCAACAAGGGGCTTCCCACAGAACTCTTTATTGCACCATTCTAGAGACGCTGTGCATGAAAATCCCAGGAGATCAGCAGTTACAGAAATACTCCAACCAGCTCGTCTGGCACCAACAGTCATTCCACGGTCAAAATCGTTGGGATCACATTTGTCCTCCATTCTGATGGTTGATGTAAACATCACCTGAAGTTGCTGACCTATAGGCATGGTTTTATGGACTGCACCGCTGCTAAACGATTGGCTGAATGGATGATGGCATGAATGAGTGTACAAGCGTTCCCAATAAGGTGCTTGGTAAGTGCATACATACATATTTCTCTGCAGTCTGTAGCTCTATAGCTGCCTGGTCTGGAGATCTACCACCCTGGAGAGTTCTGGTCCAACAGTGTTAGATTAGGGGTGGAGCTAAACTCTGCAGGGTGGTAGAGCTCCAGGACCAGGATTGGGCACCCCTGCACTTCAGTTATTCGGAATAAGGAGTGGAGTGGGCAAGCAGACATTTGATCCACCACTTTTCCATCAATCTGAAGAACTATTTAAGCATGAAATGCTTCTACACCCTTAAAAAAGGTTCTTCAAGTGTTCTTTAGTGAAAACAATGGTTCTGTACAGAACCATGAACACTCAAAGAACAATTTGTAGGCTTATATTGATGGAAAATGTGCTGTATATGGTTCTATATAGAACTTTTTTTTTTAAATGGTTGTATATAGCACCAAAAAGGGTTCTTCTATTGTTACAAGCTTGACATTGCAACAACAGCAGAACCCTTTTTAGTGCTATGTAGAACTCTTTTCAAAAACAACACGTTCTCCATCAATCCGGAGAACCATTTAAGCACACAATGGTTGTGCACTCTTAAAAAAGGTTTTTCAAGGGTTCTTTAGTAAAAACAATGGTTCTAGATAGAACCATGAACACTCAAAGAACCATCTGCAGGCTTATATTGATGGAAAATATGCTGTATATGGTTCTACATGGAACCTTTTTGAAAGTCGAGTGGGCAAGCAGGCCTTTGACCCACCACTTTTCAGAGTATAGGGGTGATACCTCACCAATTTTTTGACTAATTTCAGGACACAAAAAGAACTCCACCTTCCCTGCACTACACTTAAAAAAGACCGTTCTTCAAGTGTTCTTTGGTAAAGAAAATGGTTCTATATTGTATCATGTACACTCAAAGGACCCTTTGCATGATTAAAAGGTTCTTTGTATCATGAAAGGGTTACTCAGATTGATGGAGAATGCGCTGTACATGAAGATCTGAAGGACCCTTTCATGATTCAAAGAACCGTTTAACCATGTGAAGGGCTCTTTGAATGTTCATGGTACAATGAAGAACTATTTTCGTTACAAAAGAACCTTTGAAGAACCATCTTTTCAAGTGCGTAGTTTAAGGAAAGTGAAGTTGTCAGATGTAAGCATCCTGAAATCAGTCAAAAAAGTGGTGGGGCATCGCCCCTATACTCTGAAAAGCGGTGGAACCTGAACTCTCCAGGGTTCTAGATCTCCAGTACCAGGATCGGTCTTTTTTAAAAGTGTACACAAACCACTGACCCAAAAAATAAGTCCGTATAGACATCGAACCACACGGCTCACTCACTCGATAACACTGAATTTATATAGAGTTATCAAGTAGTACTAGTTAGCGTCTTTAGTTTAATAACGTTTAGAGAACTTTAGCCCTGATTCACCTCAGATAACTGCGTGAACGAAGAAAGACCCACACATTATTCACTGCTCATAATTAATTGATAATTGATAACTGATGATTGATAATTCATTAATTGTTTAATAAACTTTCACTAGCAAATGTTGTTGTTGACCTCACTCTACGGACACATGACTTTGGCCTTTGGACATAAAATGAAGTAGAATGTGGACTTTCTTGTCTCTCGCAAAAGCTTGACGTGGAGCCCTGCACTCCGCTCTGGTTTAATCATTTTCTACTCATTGTCCAACACACACACACACACACACTTGTTCCAGACAGAGGGTGGACAGAGGAATGTAGTGTGTATCCTGTCTGCTCCAGCCATGACTCTCAGACTACCTCTCTGCTAGAAGGTTTCAGACCCCCAGGCCACCTCGCTGACCCCTGGGTTTCTCCAGAACACTCCACAAACTCCTTCCCTTCAGCTCTTCACTTCAACTTGTTTTCTTCAGATAAGATCGGCAGTGCTGAATTAGCATTATGCTAAGCTAAGTAGCGTAAAGACAGTGCCAAACACATCGTCATCTCCTGGGCATTGAAGGTTTTCAGAAGGTGTCCACTTTCACTTGGTTTTCGTTTATGTCGCAGCGGATCTTACAGTTTTTTATTTCGTTTTCAGGTTTCAACTAATGTCGCCATGTTTATTTATGTTATGGGTCACGAGTTTCTTTAACAGTATCGGTTCTAGAAAAACTTTTAAGTTTGCAGCAGCTTCTCGTTTAACGTAGGTCATTTTTATCTACGGGTCAGTGTGTCCATTTCATTTATAGCTGCCGTTAACTGAATTAGCAGCGTGAGAAGATGTGCTGGAGCTTCATCTCCCCAGCTTTTTTTTTTCGTAGTGAAAGGAACTGTCTGAATGCTTAAATAGTTCTTTGCATGGTTCTTCAGATTGATGAAGATGCAAAGAACCCTACAAGCATGAAATAGTTTTACACTCTTAAAAAAAGATGGTTCTTGAAGTGTTCTTTAGTAAAAACAATGATTCTGCGTAGAACCATGAACACTCAATCTGCATGCTTAAATGGTTCTTTGCATGGTGAACTGTTTTTTCTGACTGAGGGAGAATGTGCTGTATAAGGTTCTATGTAGAACATCTTTAAAACTGGTTGTGTACAGTACAGAAAAAGATTCTTCCATTGTTGCAAGCTTGACACCATAATAACATCAACAGAACCTTTTTTGGTGCTATACAGAACCATATACAACACATTCTCCATCAATCTGAAGAACCACTTCACCATGCAAAGAACTCTTTAAGCAGGAAATGGTTCTTTGAGTGTTCTATATAGAACCACTGTCTTTTCTAAAGAACTCAATAATAGAACCCCTTTTCCAAAAACAGCACCTGCTCCATCAGTCTGAAGAACCATTTCATAATGCGAAGAACCGTTTAAGCAATGGTTCTACACTCTTAAAAAAGACTTCTTCGAAGGTTATTTAGTAAAAACAATGGCTATGGTTCTGCATAGAACCATGAACACTCAAAAAACCATCTGCATGCTTAAATTGATGGAAAATATGTTGTATATGGTTCTATGTAGAACATTTTCAAAAGTGGTTCTATATAGTGCCCAAAATGGTTCTGCTTTTGTTACAAGCTTGACATCATATCAATAGCAGAACTCTTTTTGGTTCTATATAGAACCATATGCAACATATTTTCCATCAATCTGAAGAACCATTTAACCATGCAAAGAACATTTAAGCATGTAAATGGTTCTTTGAGTGTTTGTGGTTCTATATAGAACCACTGTCTTTACTAAAGAACCCTTAAAGAACCATCTTTTTATCTTTTTTTTAAAGAGTGTATACAGAACTCATGGTTCTAAATAGAACAATACCCTTTACTAAAGAACCCTAGTTTACACTAAAATCCCTCCCCTATAGTCTGAGAGCTGATTTGGAGCATTGTGGGTATAGTCTGAAATGAAGCTCCAGATGGGCTCAGTAATCCCAATCTGGGCGGAGATGATAATGCCAGACTGTGGATTGACTCTGGTCCAGTTTACAGATTATTGATCCTGGAATGTTGATACATTTGTTTTTGATCAACAGCACTGGATTATAGATTATGGACTACTAGGGAGTATATCTCTGAGCCCACCACATTCTGAATTGATTGTCTTTTGGAAATAATTCAATGCCTCAGGAAATTTCATTGATTCATGATTTTTTTCCATTCAGAATATTTTTTAAAAATATGATGAATGTATAAATGTGACTGGAGGAGCCACACAGTAGTGGAATATGATCAATAACAACAGTACGTCAAGCATTTCTTGGATTTTCCTATTTGACAAATAGCCTGATCGTTTTATTTTGTCCAAAATTGAGAGCATAAATTGACCAAAATTATCATAATCACCTGCAATTGATTCTAATATTACAAAATCAATGCAGGCCATCCTGCATTAACTATATATTGGGATTAGTTCTGATTGGAAAGAGGGTTACTAATTACTAAGGAGCCCTGCTTGTGACATCCCATATACATAAAAGAATGTGTGGCCACGCCTTATTAATGTGTGGGAACGAGATCCTAATGTGTGGCCACGACTTAGTAAAGTGTGGGAATTAGATAATTAAGCTGTGGCCACCAATTAGTAAGGCACCGGAACAATATCATGCCTTACTAAGTCGTGGCCACAACTTAATTATCTTGTTCCCATGCCTTATTATGTCATAGCCACAACTTAATTATCTTGTTCCCATGCCTTTCTGAGACATGGCCACTGATCTTTTTCCCATGCCTTACTAAGTCGTGCCCACGACTTAATTATCTTGTTCCCATGTCTTACTTAATCATGGCCTGACTTAATTATCTGGTTCCCATGCCTTACTAAGTCATGGCCAAGACTTAATAATCTTGTTCCCATGCCTTACTAAGTCGTGCCCAAGACAAAATTATCCCATTCCCATGCCTTACTAAGTTGTGGCCACACATTATTTTTGTTTACACAGGATGTCACCAGCAGGGCTCTGTAAATACTGATAACTGATCAGATTACAGACTCTTGACTCACCTGTTCCAGCTGCTTCCAGCTGTTCTCAATGTGCTGCTGAGCTTTGCGTCCATCTTGGAAATGCTGAGAGAGAGAAAGAGAGAAAACGTGGTCATTACTGAACGTCCACTTTCTGTAAACTTGGGCAGATCAGCTTTATTACAGTAAAAAAAACAACAAAACTGCACATTCGAGATCTTCACTCCTCTCAAACTGAACCACTGACAACAAAGCAGCTCTCCTCTCACACTGTAAACATTCAGGCCCGTTTGTCCCTTTAGTCCAGGCATGTCAAACTGGGGACCTTCCAGGCCAAAATGCTGCAGAGATTAGCGTTTACCTTCAAACAACACTCTGAATTCAGTTCATAAAGGCCTTTAAGTTCCAACTTAAATGGTGCATGAGTCACCAGTATGTAACACCTGCACCGTTTAGGGTGGAACGGAAAAATTCAAATGCGAAGCTGACTTTTTAGTGTTTGACAGTTTCTCATTGCAGATTAAACGTATCAGGAAACCAGCTGGAGTGATTATAAACGCAAATAAGAAAACGTCTACAACGGCGACCCGGCGCACCCCTCCCTGCCGGGATGTGTGCGCGTTTAGCTTTAACTATTTTAGTGTTAGCGAGCTGCTTCAGCACCTCCAGCTAACATGGCTAATCTAGCCTTTTGGTTATAGTTATTTTCACCTCCATCGGTTTATCACTCTGTAGACGCTGTTGTGTTCTAATAGCTGTGAAGGAATTTTCCATGAATTATTTATTTCCTTTATTTAGTTTAGACTCTTGTATTGTTGTGTGTTTGGTTCTCCAACAGTTCTAGACACATCCTCGAATTTCAATTTTGGTAACTAAGACAAAGATAAAGTGACACACCTTTCTGTGGGGAGCTGAAGTGATACAAACCCCTGTATTTCTGAGGTTAATAACTGTCCAGAAGGCAGTAGCAGAACTTGTTTTACCAGCGTTTACACACTTCTGTTTCTTGTAAAGAGGCCCATCTGTGAAGACTTTAAAGGTCGTGTAGTGCCTCAGTCAAACGAAGCTAATGTTGCTAACAGTAAATGAACATGAACTCGTTCATTAGCTTCCACATGAGCATGCATGGCCAATCTATTCCCTTAACGATAGAGGTGATGAATCAAAGCGAGCTCGTTTGCGATTGTGTGTGTGTGTGTGTCTGTTTGCTGTCCGAGTTGCTGGGCAGCGTGCTGCGGCGTGCTGGAGTTCTGAGCATGCTCAGTAGACTCTCTGGAGATCCTCTAAAGGCCCCACTTGGCCAGAGCGCTCCGGGGAGAGTGTTTGTTTGCAGCTCCATCCTCAGCCATCCCTACAGCTCACACACACACACACACACACACGCACACACACACACACACACACACACACACACACACCCACACTGAGCACTCCGTGTATCACACCACTTAAAGCTACAGTTCACCGAAAGATCCAAGTTTCCTCAGTTGAAGCCGATCAGCCGAGGCCTGTTTGGAGCCAGAAGTTTGCTTCTTTAGTTTTAGCACTGGAGCTATGAGGCTAATGTAGCTAACAAGTAATGGAAGTTTATGCTCCACCAGTTAGCACCATGCTAACTGCACGACTGAATCATCACACTTCAATGTCTCGAGCTGCTCAGTAACAGAACTGATTATGTGGTTTCTGACTCTGAGTGACACGCTGTTATCATCTGAGGCAGGAGAAGCATAATGTTGTAATACTGATTTTTCTATGAACCATCACTTTAAGATCTGACAAGAAGACAGACAGAGAGAGAGAGAGAGAGAGAGAGAGAGAGAGAGAAGGGCCAGGAAGTATGACAATATATATCGTTACTGTGATAAATTGTCACATTATGCTCTTTTGATCGTACTGCGTGTATCATCAGTACCTGCAGACACTGACCAACTGCACGTTTCATTATGAAGAGAACAAAATAAGTCCTGTTTAACACTAAAATCGTCATGTTCACAGTTTTTAATAGTCTTTTTTAAAATGTAGCTCTACAAAGAGAGAGAGAGAGAGAGAGAGAGAGAGAGAGAGAAAGAATGGAGAGGCAGACAAAATAGATAAAGAAAGAGGAAAAGAAAAAAGAAACAAAAACGAGAAAGAAATAAAAAAGGTGTAAAAAACATGAGAAAGAGAAAGAGAGAGATGGGGACAAAGCAGAGAGAGAGAAAAAGAGAGGAGGTAGAGACAAAAAGAATGAGAAACAGGTAGAGAGAGAAAAAAAGAGAAAAAGAAAGAGAGACAGACCAAAGAGAGATAGAGAAGAGAGAGACAGAGAAGAGAGAAAGGGAGGGAGAGAGAGAAAGCCTGAGAGAGAAGAAAGAAAAGAGAGACAAATGGGAGAGAAAGTGTAAGATAAAGAAAGAAAGAAAGAAAGAAAGCAATAAGGAGGGGAGTGAGAGAAAGCATGAGACAAAGAAAGAAAGAAAGAAAAGAGAGACGAAGAGGAGTGAGAAAAGAGCTGCAGGGAGGGGTGATGTTCGGCTCTGGTGTGTTTAATATTCACTGTACTGATCTGTATAAACTGTGCGAAGCCTTTAGATCCACACGACACACTGAAACACACTGCACACAGCAAGCACACTCTATAGGGGTGGGCCGGGGTGCCAAATAGCGTCTTTCACACACACACACACACACCACACACACACACACACACACACACACACTCAGGCTGTGTCTCGGTCGGTTCTGAAGCAGCGCTGCTTCCTAAGTCAGTTGGTTTCTCACTTCTCTCTAAAACTGGGGCTGAACGTGCTCACAGGGAACTGACCCGCACGCCACACCGCTCCGTCGCCGTGGAGACCACAAGCTGTTTCCTGCCAATCACGGGCTGTCACTCCGCTCTCAAAGAGAAGGCCTGACCTCTGTTGACCTCTATTGAACTCCACTGAACTGCTCTAATGGAGGCCACTGCTGTGGCCAGAACTTTCCCTGTATGAGCAGACTGGCGTAAAGAGAACGTGGGAACTCCAAAGAGGACCAAAGCTCCTCACAGCTCTCGGCGCTCAGATAAAACAATGAGACGATCAGAAGACCGTTTGACCGCTTAAACTCCCCAGAGAGAGAAACCAGCTCGTGTAAAACACGACCGCCTTCAGCTATCACCATCAAAACTGCCTCTGCGGACCACCTGTATCCCCCTCACTCAGAATATACCTGTTTGTGTGTGTTTATGTTTACTGTACTAATAATTAGTTCTTTATTATTATATAAGTGTTTAAGTTACAGAGAGCGAGAGACACAGAGAGACATGGAGAGAGTGAGTGACTGACACTAAAAAAGACTTAGACATGGGGAGAGACAGACATAGAAAGAAAGAGTTAACAGAGCTAATAGAGTTAACGCGGCCAGAAAGAGCAGGAGGAGAGGACGTTCTGATGTTATTACTCTTTATTACATTCCATTTATCCTTTTCTTGGAAGGTAGGAAGAAAAAAGGGAGAGAGAGAGAGAGAGAGAGAGAGAGAGAGAGAGAGAGAGAGAGAAGGTGAACTAGTCTCATCCAAATCATAAAACTCTCCGTTTTCCACTTTTTCGCTCCAGTTTTTCTCGTTATGAAATCAGATTTACAGAAGGTTTGAATCAGCCTCAGCATCACGCTGCAGACGACAGCGTCCAGACTGGAACACTTCGTTATGGATATTACAGTAAAACCGTCTACAAGACCACAAGAGCAGAATGACCGCCGACAGACACACAGCCAGCCAAGCCCAAAGACATCTGACCACTCAGACCACTTACACCTGACCACTTCATTACACCTGAGATGGGTGGATGGAGAGATGGATGGACTGGTAGATAGATGGATTGATGAAGGGATGGATAGATGGAAGAGATGGACAGGTGGGTGCATGGATGGATGGAGGGACAGATGCATGGATGGATAGAGGGACAGATGCATGGATGGATGGACGCATGGAGGGATGGATGGATGCAAGCCTAGATGGATGGACAGGTAGATGGATGGATGGATGGATGGATGGATGGATACATGGATGGATGGATGCATGGAGGGATGGATGGATGCAAGCCTAGATGGATGGACAGGTAGATGGATGGATGGATGGATGGATGGATACATGGATGGATGGATGCATGGAGGGATGGATTGATGGAAGAGATGGACAGGTGGATGCATGGATGGATAGATGGATGGATGCAAGGCTAGTTGGGTGGACAGGTAGATGGATGGACAGATGGATTGATAGATGGCTGGACGAGTGGCTGGAGGGATGGAGGAATGGGCACACAGACAGATGGGTGGACTGATGGGAGAGATGGACAGGCGGATGAGTGGCTGGATGGATAGAGGGATGGATGGATGGCCGCATGGATGGATGGACTGATGGAAGAGATGGACATGTGGACGGATGGGTGAAAGGATGGATGGATGGAGGAATGGACACATGGATAGATGGATGGATTGATGGGAGAGATGGACAGGTGGATGGATGGATGGAGGGAGGGATATATGGATGGATGGATGAATTGGTGAATAGACGGCTGTACGGATAGATAGATAGATGGCTGGATGAGTGGCTGGATGGATGGAGGAATGGACAGATAGATGGATTGGTGAATAAATGGAGGGATGGACAGATAGATAGTTCAATGAGTGGCTGATGGATCGAGGGACGGATGGATGGACAGATGGATGGATGTTAGGAATGACTGGATAGGGTAAATGTTTAGAAGAATAGAAGGATGGTGTCAAAAGGTGGCCAAAGGTGGATGAATAGTTGGATGGATGGATGGATGGAAGGAAGGATTGGATTGGGTAGATGTATAGAAGAATATATAGATAGTGTCAAAAGGCCTGGCCTGCAGAGGATCTTAAACGCTCTCTCTCTGTCTCTCTCTCTGTCTCTCTCTCTGTCTCTGTCTCTGTCTCTGTCTCACAGAAGCAGGTACAGTATTGTTTAATCCAGTGAACATATGGCTCCCTTTAATTCCCTTAGATCCCACTGCTGAAGATCTGTGTGTGTGTGTGTGTGGTGTGTGTGTGTGTGTGTGTGTGTGTGTGCACGCGCATGTGCGCATGTGTCTAAGCTTTAGCACAAAGAAAGGAAGACG